AGTGTCTGGCCACGCCCTTTAGAAAATAGCCCCTCCCCCCTTTTCTGCTCAAGTGTCTGGCCACGCCCTTTAGAAAATAGCCCCTCCCCCCTTTTCTGCTCAAGTGTCTGGCCACGCCCTTTAGAAAATAGCCCCTCCCCCTTTTCTGCTCAAGTGTCTGGCCACGCCCTTTAGAAAATAGCCCCTCCCCCCTTTTCTGCTCAAGTGTCTGGCCACGCCCTTTAGAAAATAGCCCCTCCCCCCTTTTCTGCTCAAGTGTCTGGCCACGCCCTTTATAAAATAGCCCCTCCCTCTTCTGCTCAAGTGTCTGGCCACGCCCTTTAGAAAATACCCCTCCCCCCTTTCTGCTCAAGTGTCTGGCCACGCCCTTTAGAAAATAGCCCCTCCCCCCTCTTCTACTCAAGCGTCTGGCCACGCCCTTTAGAAAATAGCCCCTCCCCCCTTTTCTGCTCAAGTGTCTGGCCACGCCCTTTAGAAAATACCCCCCCCCCCTTCCTTTCTGATCAGCTCCCCTGCCCCCGCATCCCCCACGCACGCACAGAATTGTCACGACCAATACATAATAAGAGTAACTTCACAAATTTTCACTCGTCAAAAAAAAAGAATACGTTGCTACAAATTGCTGAGCAAGGTGGATGCTTGGAAGTAGAATGTGTTGTCTCCGTTGTCAAGCAAACCCCGGCTGCGCAACTGCTCTTGTAACCGGCGTCGGAGACGTCCACCACACCTCCTCGAGATCTGTTGCACGAACCTCGGGTTGCATGCAACCACCCCGAATCCCTCTTTACGTGCGGACGTCTCTCTCGGATGCTTGCGCCTGAAGTGGAGTTGGGGTGGGGGGGGGGCGGGCGGAGGAAAGACCTTGGTGTTGGGTTCACTGGGCCAGGGGATGACCCCTTTTTTTTATTGTTGTAGCATTGCCTACAAAACATCCCACGGCAAAGAGGCGACGGCAGGGAAGTGACCTTGTGGGCTGCGACGGTGAGATTATTGACCGGTTGTTGAATGTGCGGCCTGCCGCGGCAGCTGCTTAAACCGTCGGTGGTTTTTACTTTTGGAATTACCGTTTCTGTATCGTTGCTGTTCTTGTTATAAAGTTATTTTCGATTTCACGTTTCCTCAATGAGGACTCTTCAGCTCCAATTTGTGAGCTGTTAGCTTTGTAAGTATGGCAACAACTTTAAGAGACTTGTAGTATAATATATACATATATATTTTTCCCCCCCGGTTATTGAAATGTAATTGTAATTGTAGCACGGGAGACTCGCTAAGCTCACATTTTTTGCGAAAAATGTTAAACGTAAAAAAAAAACGTTATTTTTTGCGCGTAATTACTTTGTTGGTATTTTTAATTTTGATACTTGGCTTTCGTTAAGGCATTTGGAAAGGGTGTTTTTTTTGTTATTGCTCCCGAGTATAGCGAGTGCATTTGTAAATTGTACACGGTCCCCCAAATGTTAATGAAAACCGTTGCTTTTATTTATTTTTTTCCCCCCTCTCAAATGTTGACGTTTTTTTTTTGCTCTAAAGGCTCGGTCGGGATCGTTGAAAACAGTTTTAACAAAAAAACTATTCTTATGGTAATCATTTCTGAAAGCTCTTGCAAATCTGTCAATTTTTAAGTTCACCGCTCAAATAAAGTTTTATTTGGACACAGATTTTGTGTTTGAAAATGTTTTGAGAGAGAACAAAATCTCGATGTACTACAAATATGTATGTATTACGGTGTATTTATTACTAAAAGTGTTGCATCCCGGAACCGTGGAACATCATCCAAGAATTTCGGTGACAGTCCATCTATTTAATCAGGCGGTAACCCACCGTGACATGATTTTCTCCTTGGAGATATCAGATTAAATGTAGCTGTGTCAGGACACGCGCACGAATTATACGTGTATTTATTGAGTGTAGGTCATTTTTTAAATGTACTAACAGTCACCTTTTAAACTTGCGGATTAAAAAGAAAAAAGTTATACTGTACTGCAGTTACAGCGGTGCACAAGCACGTGTTGCCAAAGCTCGACACTTTTATCAATGCCACCCTACACAGTAGAACACATATAGGTATGACATTTCAGCCAAAGGCCCATTTGTAGAACCAATGGCCTTTCATGCGCCTATGTCCACATCTCGCCTCAGAAGTGTCTGCTGTGAAGAAGGACCATTGCCTAAATCGTCACCTATACGTTGATTTACTCTTAGAGGTAGTGTTATTGACGAATGGGTGAGTTGCGTTTTGTATCCGTGTTCACTTTACAGGAGCCAGGCTATTCCTAGCACATTGCCCCACAGCACAAAGCAAACTTCTTACAATCGCACAAGTCGGACCAGTCATAAGAGCCTTGTCGATACAGGTACACATTTGTCTAATCCTTTCAAGGGTTTCAGCATTTACAGCAGGAATGGAATAAAACATCTCGATTGGCACACAACCATAAAAAAAGGTTTCTCCATGCTGTATTGGTCCTGAGAGTTGTTAAACCATACTTGACACTGGTCAATACGGATTGGTGATTGTACCCACGATTTCTTTAGAACTTATTTTTGTGTTTAGTTGTCCTTCCCCCGCACCTCTGATTAGCACGGTTGGCTACGTACGGTGCGAAAGAATTTCAACGTACGTACGAGATGGGTTCGGTGACTGCTGCTCCACCACTCCACAAAGATCAAGATCAACACCAAGATGTCATCGTGGCCCAAGGCGTTGTTGATGCTGCCACACCTCATCAGCTGCTGCACAGACCACCACAGGGTAATAGCGAGATGTCAACTACCTCGCCTGGTATACAGGAGGTCGTGGATACGACCCTGATGCCTGCTATATATATTTCGGAGTATCTCCGGGTTTGTCCCTCATTCATAATCAACGTGCGTTGATTATAAGAGTATTCGGCTGCTATAAATGTCGACGTGATAAGCCACTTCGTTGAGCTATCACTTGTGATAGCCAGGTCGCTCCTGAAAAAGAGCTGTACAGCTCGATGGGCCTCACCTGGTAAAATAAAAAAAATAGTTTAAGAATAGTATATATAATAAATATAGAGTTTTCACACTGTGACCTCTAGGGTCTGCTGTGACGGTCTCCCATCGTCTGCCCTCGGTTCTGCTGTAGTTCGCAGGACTCTTGGTGACCGCTCTAAGACCTGCCTCGGCAAATTGTCCGCCCTCCATGCTGCAGAGGTGTTTCCGCCCCAGGACTTCCCTTTCCCACCGCTCCACAATATGCTGAGCCGCGCGTAAACTTGTACATTTGTTTACGTTGTACTCATGGCGGTTATCGCAAACACTTAAGAATCGGTCGCGGCGATATCACGTTCGTTGTGATAAATTGTGCATTAGTATCGACATGCCAGTGGTTATGAGAGGTTGTTTGACCATGCTTCACCATGCTGGTCAGTATGACTTGGTGAAAGTGTGGGGAGAGGCTCCGTATCAGTGCAGACGTGACTCGCCACTGGTGTTAGCCATTGGCGGGCGATCAAAACTCCGGTGGCCACGTTCACAGCGCGTTGTGCTTGCAGGACACGGTGTGAATGTGTACGCGCGCTTTTGCTCTCTGTACATCTCACCCTCTATCGCCATTATCTTCCCTCCCCATCAACCCCCTCCACTCCTTCCCTCCCCCTAACCCTCTCGTGATTCCGAAGTTCTATTTTTATTCCACCAGATAAGGCTCACCGAGCTAATATGGCTCTTTTTCAGAAGCGACCTGGCCACAAATGATAGCTCAACTAAGTGGGCTTATCATGTGGGAATGTATAGCAGCCAAATAATCTTACCGGTGGACCCCGGAGAAAAATCCACGCGAACACAGGGAGATCACGCAAACTCCAAATATACAGCAGCAGGCGTTCGGGTCAGGATCGAACCCAAGACTTCCTGTATACCAGGTGAGGTAGTTAACATCTCGCTACTACGGCCCTGTCACTCAGTACCTTGCACCACCCCTGCCATCTAAATCATTTCATTCTGTCATCGTTTCGGAAGCTATGTCAAGCGCCTTCAAGTGAAGGCGCTCTGGAAATATAAATTGGATTCGATCTGTGGTGAGTGGTGGTGGTGTTGGTCCACTAAACGACCCGAAGCAGAAATTACATTTGCCCGCTCACCCACCACCACTCAATCCTTTTAATTTATAAACTCTTAAGCATATTTTTAAAATAAAAAATAATACTAAATATCAAAATATATATAACGTCGTGAGTTTTTGTTATTTATGTTTTTAATTTTATATTTGTATTTTTTTTTATTTTTATTTTATATCTACGTGACTACCGAAAGAACCAAAGAATATAAATTCCTGCAAATCGCGAAAGCTTTTAAGTCAAAATTTTATAGTTACCAATTATATTATCTTATCCCAAATCGATTGACCGTAAGTTTTCCCTCGTACAAGAGTACGGGGTTAAACCGCGTGGATTGACAACCATGCGATTACGGAACTACAAACGTTGCACGCTTTGTAATAAAATGTAAAATAAAAAAAGCGTTTCCCTTTAAACTCCACTTCGCGCCAAAATTACGCAACGGCACCGCGTCGATTCCGATTCGCGATCCGAGCTGAAACATTTTTTTTATTCGATTCCACAACTCTGCGGCGACAATTTTCGACGTTTGACAGCAAATCAACAACAAGGCCGACGATCGGCGGCGGCGTCGTCCTCGTAAACAATTTGACTGTTACCCGATACAGGACGGACGTTTGCGATCTCCGGTGGTAATTAATTGTTGGGGGAAGAGATTGGCGGTGGGATTGTGGGGAGCGGTGGCGCAGCGGTTAGCGCGCCGTGGTTCCCCGGCGGTCCCCCCTCGAGTTCAGTTCCGGCTCACGGTCCACACCCAGTGACGAACATCTGAGAATCGGTTCTGGGCCTCCCCTAGGTCGACTCGACCTCAAACGAGTACCTGGCGCGGTGTGTAGTAAACATCGCCACTGGGAGGGGAGACAAAGGCGGTCGGGCGTGGTTGCTGGCCACCCCCCCCCCCCCACTCGTGTGCCGTGCCGGCCCTTCACAAGTACTACTCGCTTGACAGCACTTGCCCCTACAGTCTGTTCACAGGCTACACGGGGGAGCTTTGTCTTTGTTATTTACTACGGGAATCGATTCCGCCGTTTTGGGGAAGGCGTGGGAATCGATTCTGTCATTCGCTAACAGAGACGATGGCGTGGTCGTGGATGCCGCTGCCGCTTCTGTGGCTGTCCGTCAACGCCGGTCTCCTGGAATCTTCTCCTCTGTCACAGGTGCAGTCATCAGCAGCGGCAGTATCATCAGCAGCGGCAGTAGCAATAGTCACATCGTCGTGTACGGTGCGAAAGAAGTTCAAGTAATTAGAGCAGGAGCATCATCTACATCATCAGCAGCATCATCAGCAGCATCATCTTCATCAGCAGCATCATCAGCCGCATCATCTTCATCAGCAGCATCATCAGCAGCATCATCATCTTCATCAGCAGTAATGTCAGCAGTATCACCCGCGGCCTGATCATCAACTATTGACAACATTGTCATCAACAGCAACAACAGATAACAGCAATATCATTATCATCAGAATCACCATCAAACAGCGTGAGTATCAATGTGACCAACATCACCATTCAAATCACCATCATCATCATCATGAGCACGTTTATAAACTGTGGAATAATCATCGGCAATATCACAGGCATCGGCATCGATTGAGTTATCTTATGTTAGCCTTATTTAAATTGACATCATGGCCTCTGCCCCCATCGTTAGTGATCAATATCGTGATCAATATCGTGATCAATAACGTGATCATTGTGATTACCCCGTGTCCGCGCCATCGTAATCAGAATTATTAGTTGGCATCGGGTCACTTCGTAATTTTGCAACATAATATCGATCGTTAAGTCTGTGTTATTTTAAATCTGTAATTAATGATATTGTCTGCCTTGAATAAGGGAGGACTGAATTTTGATTTAAAGCTTTCGTGACTGCAGGGATTCATATTCTTGGTTCTTTCGGTAAAGTCACGTAGAAGGGAAACAAAAGAATACAAATATAAAACAATATTAAAAATTCTCACGACGTTTCGACGTTAAAAACAAAACGCCACTTTTTTCAAATTTTCTTGCCGTGGTTTTCACACCTGATGATGATTGCTTGTGTTGCAGTCGAAACGTCGTGAGAATTGTTTTATATTTTTATTATTTTATTGTTTCCCTTCTACGTGGTGACTTTACCGAAAGAACCAAGAATAAGGGAGGACTGCTCTTAGCGCAATCAATGGGCTCTTGCCTGGAAAAGATTTCGTTGGGGATATGGGTTGACCACCGTGCATAACAGGTGCTATAGGCTGCGAAGGCCACACGGTGATCAGCAGAAATCTGTGCCCCCCCCCTCCCCATGTCCATGCTGCCAGCCTACACCCACCCGAACTGACCAGCGTGGTGAAGTATGGTCAAATACCAGACTCCCCCCCCCCATCCCCAAAGATTCCAGACACTACCATGTGTATCAGTTTGGTAATAGTCTCAGAAACCAGTGGGTGCCTCTTGTTTATTTTTCATAATTGCCAATGCCTCTCAGGAAATGTTAGGTCTCGGAAGCGAGAGCGTATCGTTCGACAATTGTACAACCAGACTCTTTGGTTCTTTCGGTAAAGTCACGTGGTAGGTATAAAATAAATTAAATCACGACGTTTCGGGCGCGACACAAGCTGTCCGTCATCAGGTGGGACAACCACAGCAAGCAACAATTGCTGAAGTGGGCAAAAGGGCTGCTTGTTTACAAAGGGCTTGCTGTAACAAGAGGCTATATCGTGATTTAATTTATTTTATACCTACGTCGTGACTTTACCGAAAGAACCAAAGAGTATGGATCCCTGCGGTCACGAAAACTTCAAATCTAAATTGGATAACCAGTTTAGCACGTGGCAGGGTTTTTACTGGTAGGAACCTCCTGGTTACACCACCAGCCCACAGGGGATTATTGTGTCCGTCCGTCGTGCATCCAAAAATGGGAGGGGTGGGGCTGGGTGGAGAGGGGAGGGTGGGGAGGGGCTGGGTGGGGAGGGGCTGGGTAGGGAGGGTGGGGCTGGGAGGGGGGTGGTGGGAGGGGTTGGGCTGGGTGGGGAGGGGCTGCTCACCCCGTGGTGCCCTTATAAAACTCAACGTTTAACCTACTCACGCCGGCTTGTGCCCGCCCTCACAGTCGGGCAATATTTGCGGAATACACCACGTGGTGCCGCTGTTGACCCTGGCCATTGACCGAGCAGCCCAACGTTCCTACCAGCTCCCTCCGCAGGAATGTGTTTTGGGTTAGATTGCAGAAGTATAAATGTGTCGTAACCCTCCACCACCCGACACAGCCAGGAAGGTTTGTCACGTAAACAACGCGCCAATTAGTTTACTACTTGAGCCCACCGGTGTGTTGGAGAGATTGTAAATGTTGTGGACAACACACCGGTGGGCGGAAATAGTAAACTAATTGGCGAGTTCTTTACGTGACAAACCTTACTGCCTGTGTTAGGGTGGTGGAGGGTTGCGACACATTTATACTTAAGCGATATAACCCAAAAAAAAACTTTATTATGAACTGTATAACCCCCTGCCAATTGGTAAAACATGTTTACTCGTTTAGCCTTGGGCAGTAAGTACAGCAATGCCTGGTGCCATCATCACGGATCCCATTATCCGCGACGCAGTCTACGAACTTACTCCGCTTATCTGCGAAGCAATCGTGGATAATAAGATGGATTTTGACGATGAAACTCCACTTATCCGCCAAACATTTGCGGATGATGGGGGGGGGGGGGGCATTTCTAAATGCAGACTGAGAAAAGAAACCCCACAGGTAATTGCGGATAACTGGAATAATAGGATCATGGCTGAGAGGAATTCTGTCTGAACTACAGGACGGTACTTTGCATTCGTGAAATGTGTTCCTTTTTGCTGCTCTCCAGGAACATGTGGATTTACTGCCGGCATTCAAGGAATTTATTTGGAAGCACAACAAGACGTACAAAGATGAAGGAGGTAAATTAAGGCGAACGGCTTTCGCGACCAATATCATCCACACTGGAGGCTTTTCGGGGTGATGGCGGGTTTAACGACAACCAAAGAGTTTCAGTTTCATTTATTTGGAGTAACCCTGCGAGCCATTCGGCTCTTGATTCGGGTGCAACCGCAACAAACAATACAATTACAAGATACATTTATAATTTACTGTACACAGATTGAGACATCCCCCTACAAAAAAAAACACATTCCTGCGGAGGGGGCTGGTAGGAAATTTTGAAGTAATTATGAAGTAATTATGTACGGATATTTAAGCCAAACTTGTTAGGGTCGTGCGCAGAAGAAAGCTAAATGAAAAGTGAGCAGAATTATAAAACGACGCCAGAAAGTTGCAGTGTAAAAGAGGTCGCACCAGAAAGTGCAGTGTTATAATCCCCTGCCTCCTGTTGATTAATCCCGGTTGGGCTTCCAGTCCATATAAGGGCACCACGGGGTGACCAGCCCCTCCCCACCAAGCCCCACTCCACCCAGCCACACCCCTCCCACCCCCCACCCAGCCACACCCAGCCCCTCCCCACCCTCCCCTCCCCACCCAGCCCCTCCCCACCCTCCCCTCCCCACCCAGCCCCTCCCCACCCAGCCCCTCCCTACCCTCCCCTCTCCACCCAGCCCCACCCTTCCCACGTGGACAGACATCCACAGACATACACAATTAATCCCCTGCCTCCTGTGAATTAATCCTGGTTGGGCTTCCAGTCCATAAAATCTTCCAGAAAAAGCGCCGTGTGTTTATGCTGCGTAGTAAACTGTGCAAATAAAATCCCATTTTGTTGTTAGATCACAATAACAATCATAATATAATTTAGATTAAAATTCTAAGTATAACTCTATGCTACATACAAAAATCGGGCTAAACTAAACCTTTCTAGAAATTACTAAAATAATGCTATAAAACAATTTAACAGTGATCGTAAGAAATGTGATTGAAAGTTAACAATAGCGACATACATAACATATTACTAAACCTAGCATCCTTCGCTAGCTGCCTGAGTCAATCCATAATAGCAGGAGTAACCTCTCCTATGGACACTGTAAAAGTTACTGTAATGTATCTTTGCACTTAATTTGGTAGTCGTTTTCATAACTTAATGATGTTTTCTAATTGGGGCCCGTGAGTTGAAATGTAAATTTGGTTTTGCAATTGTAAGCATTGTAATTTTATCACGTAGGCTTTCGCGACCAATATCATCCATTATATTGTTTTTTTGGGTTAGATCGTGTAAATTAATGTCATCACATATACCCCTCTATTTAAGGAATGAAACAGGAGGATTTCTCCACAAATCTGGTTGTCCGCCTGATTGTGCTAGTTGTAATTACTGGCGAAACGTCGTACTCAGCTAATGTTGTGGATTTGCTCTCCAACACACCGGTGTGCTGTACTAGTGACGAATTGGCCACGTTCTGTTTACGTGACAAACCTTACTAGTTGGCTGTGTCGGATGGTGGCGGGTTTAAAGACGCATTTATATCTACTCAATCTAACCCAAAAAAACATATTGTGAAAGCACTGTCATGCTGCCAAAAGATGATTGTGTTTGCACGCAAGTGACAGGTGACTTAACTTTTGAATGTGATTTGCGGTTGAATGTTTTGGACCACTTAAGGCGGCCGAGGTCCACATCTGAGGCATCGGTTGCATGCAACTTAGTTGCGTGCAGATATGCACCTTGTGCAATCACAGTTGCAGGTGATTATTCCATTGCACAGATTCCAAGGTCCACATCTGAGGCATCGGTTGCATGCAACTTAGTTGGGTGCAGATGTGCCCTTGTGCAATTACATTTGCAGGTGATTATTCCGCTGCACAGATTTAAAGAGAAATGTTGTTGCGCAACTATCGCGCGGAGCCGTCTTTACAGTCGGCGGTAGCATCTGAGCAACAAAGAGTGGAGTTTTTAAACGTTAAGGAATACAGTAAAACCTTGAATTGCGAGTAACTTGGTTTGCGAGTGTTTTGCAAGACAAGCAAAAAATTTAAATAAATATTAATTTGATAAACGAGCGAGGTCTCTTGTAATACGAGCAGTACGTATACGCTTTGTCTGTCGAGCGTCACGTGTTCACAACTGATATAAAACGAGTGCTTTGATATACGAGTGCTTTGGATTACAAACACGTTTCCGGAACGAATTAGGCTCGCAAACCAAGGTTTTACTGCACTGTTTTATATTTTATTATTTTATTGTTTCCCTTCTACGTGACTTTACCGAAAGAACCAAGAATATGTACTGTTCATGTTAGAGTTTGTACGTAAAAATGTAGGACCCATAAACTTCATCGCGACTTGAGATTGCAGTGGTTGATGTGTACGCTTTTAATCCAGTCCCAGAACTTGTGTGTATATAACAAGCACAAGCAGAGTTCGCAGGTTAATTTTTTTTATTATAAACCTGCATTAAAATTAGCAAGTAGTACGATGCAGGACCCATAAACTTTATCGCGACTTGAGATTGCAGTGGTTAATGTGTATGCTTTTAATCCAGTCCCAGAACTTGTGTATTTATAACAAGCACAAGTATAAATTTTGATTTAAAGCTTTCGTGACTGCAGTAATTTACCGAAAGAGCTAAGAATAAGCACAAGTATTGTTCGCAGGTTAATCTTGTTTTATTATAAACCTGCATTAAAATTAGCAAGTCGTACGATGGCAGTCGTTGTATACACAAATAAAATGTTAATCATGTCTTTAGCAGTGGTGCCGCAGTGATCAGCGCGCTGTGGCATGAAACCCGGTGGACTCAGTAGGAGTTGGAGTTTTTTTTAAACACACTTTAGGGAACACCAGCGGAACAGGCTTGTTTAAAGAGATTTAATTTGTATGTATATTTTTGTTTTCAAAAGTGCTTTTCTTTGCTTTTCTTTTCCTCCAAAACAGCTGAGAAGATGAGGTACGAAGTCTTCCGGGAAAATTGGCATCGGGTGCAAAAGCTGCAGGAAACGGAGCAGGGCTCTGCAGTGTACGGAATCACCAAATTCAGTGACCTTACAGGTGACGAAAGATACCCGTTGCGATGCTGCACTGAGCACAATGTTGGGTATGCAGGCATCAACATGTGAACCTATGGCGGACTGTCAGGGTCCCGCAAGCCCCCGGCTCTCGCATAAACATCATATTATGATGTAAACAAAAACTTTACTCTTTTTCACCAATGGGTTTTAAGGATGGTGGCAAGTGTTGTCTTGTTAAACTAAGCCTTTAATATAGAAAACTACTTACCTGCAGTACCTCTATTTAAGTACACTATCATCGTGTTTCTCAGTGTGGATTTGTGAACACACTTTGTAAACAGTACATCAAATAGTTCGCGTTGGCAATGCGCTGTTCGCATTGTAACAAGCGTATATACCAATGTTCCTCTACAGAGTAGTGGGTCGCCGCTCCTCTTATCCGCATCGATACGAGCGGTATGTGGGGACTATGGCTTAACCGCAAAAAAAAAAACCTATCTGCACAGATGCATACGGACAAGAGAAGTATTATCAAACAGGAGGAATTAACGGTGCAACGCATCTCATCTGTTAAATATCTGCAGGTAATAGGATTTGTCATCGATTGATCCTGGCTGCAGACATTGGTAGGTCACAAATAACAATGAAGATAAGAGAGCAGTTTCACTGTATTATTATTATGCATACCGTGATGACAATTAAAATATTTTAAGTCGTGTAGGCAGTTTGAGCAGCTTCGGATAAGAATTAATCAGCTGCGATTTTGACTTGCGTTTATTCGTGACCCCGGGGTCCCGCCATGAGGTTCATATGTGCCCAGATCCCCCCAGCTCTAGAGCTGCTCCTCCAAAGGATATTTGGCCCGCTCTTTTACGCTGGCCAGACATCTCTGAAGAGGTGGGACTGCGTTCCCCATACTTTATTATAATCTCAACCCGAGTTTCGAAGTCGTCGATGTGGTACACCGCACGCAACCTGCCGGTCGACACTCATCTGCGGTGACACGCTTTTTGTGTTGACGGAGGCGGGTGGAGGGATTTAAGAAATGTGACGATCGTTTCAACTGCCGCGCAACAATTAAAACCGGCGACCCCACCCCCACCGGATCACGAGCTCGTGCGGCTTTCCAACAATTAAACCACAGCAGCATCCCTCCCACCCTCTGATGATTGCAATCGTCGCAAACACCAGCAAGCTTCGCGGCAGCGACGACGTGCGTGCGCGTGTGTTTGTCCGTTCTCCGTTTCACGTTTGGCGAACGTTCCCCCCGCGTGGATCTCTTTGTGCAGAGGAGGAGTTCCGCGCGCTCCATCTGAACCCGGTTCTGTCGCGGCCCAGGGAAGTCGGTCTCCGTCAAGCCCAGATCCCCCCAGGTCCCATTCCGCCGGCGTTCGACTGGCGAGACCGTGGCGCCGTCACGGAGGTCAAGAACCAGGTAGGCGATGTTCCCTCTCCCCGCTCCTGTCCCTGGCCCAGGAGTAGCCTTCGCTGGTTTGTCCAACCGGCTCGCTCGGCGGAGGCAGCGGTGTAATTGTAATGCGTCTACAGCAGGGGCGGGGAAACTTTTTTCTGCCAAGGGCCATTTGGACATTTATGACATAATTCGCGGGCCGTACAAAATTATCAACTTGAAGATTCGCCTGTTATGTTTGGTCAAGCATTTAATTAACTCACCCCTGCTGTGATGGCTGGAACTGCAAAATGATTTCGCGGGCCGGACGTTCCCCACCCCTGGTCTGCAGAATCGAAGGGACGTGCACGAGGGATGCTGCCATGTGTGATGTTACGGTCAGCGCACTGCTTGACTTGCGATCCAGAGGTCCCCGATTTGTATTAATGTATGTACGTTGAACTTATATTCTTCGCGTCTTTCGGTAAAGTCACGTAGATAGGCTCAATTATCTTTGACCCCATCTACGTGACTTTGCCAAAAGACCCAAAGAATATGAATTCCTGCGGTCACGAAAGCTTTAAGTCAAGATTTGTGTTGAACTTCTTTCGCAACCGGACGTAGCCAACGTGCTAATCGGAGGTGTGCTTCGATTCGATCTCCCGGCGTGGAAGTTGAACAAAAAGGGAAGTCTATTTAATAACCCTGCCTCCTGTCCACCCAGTGGTATCAAATGGGTTTTCAACGGCAGGTTGTTCGTGGTCGAGGGAAAGCGTGATGGGTATTTCCCCACCTCTTCCAAGATGTCTGGGCAGCAAAGAAGAGTAGGCAAACATACCCTCTTCATAGAGCTCCCTCGAGTGAAAACACCTTCTGCCCGCAGTGGCACGAGCAAGCCACCGCAGGGCTGCACATGTACCTTTTTGGTGGGATTGTAATGCATCGTCTCGTGCCGCTGCTGGGTCGGTGGACAGGGAGGTCGAACTGACAAGCAGCGTGCTGAGGCCACATGCAACGTCGTCGAGTCTGGGAAACTAAAATTAACTTGCGGTTTCCTCGTGTTCTGTGTTTTCTGTCACATGCCAAACTGACGGATATGGGCATACGTCCCAATGCGCCCACGCCACCCTTCGGAAGGAGAGTTTGGAGACCCAGGCCCTCCCGAGAAAGCACGGCTTATGCCGCGTGTTTTTTTTTTCCCGACACGATGTCCGACGTTTCGCTCCGTGCGTTGGAAACTTCTTCAGGAACTGAATTCCACCAGCAGCAGCCCTGCACCCTAGTACGATCGATAATTATATATCCACGCCTGCAATGGGCACGGTTGGCCACGTGCGGTGCGAACGAAGTTCAACATCGATACAATCGAGGCAGAAAGTGAGCCGCTCAATTGATTTGCCGAAGAAGCTCCGGGCGAGTGAAAGATCAGACGTCGTGCCGAACAATGCGTGAACGGCACAGCCTAGACACACATCGGAGGGCTGCCCGGCGCAACCGGGGAAAAACCTGCGCGTCGGGGCATCACCGTTATTATTATTAAGCGTGGGTCTGAGTGAACAAGTAAAAATGCAATTGCATTTTAGTCCCGTCACCTTGTGTGCCACGTTTGGAAAGAGTGTATTCCAGTGGCATTTGCTTAAGCAGGAAAGGTGTGGACCAGTTTTCTGAGTTACATGCAGGATCTGATCTGTTCTACAAATGCTGATGGTTAGCCTGCTGTAACAAGAGGCCTCTGTAAGCATGAGCGTTTGTTTTACTGGGGAAACAGACAGCATTGTGGATTGTGGTCAGCGGGGTGCATGAGAGTTGTTTTTTTTCACAACTACGTACCGCCGAGCGGTTACCTACGAGAAGCTCATCTCAATCTGTCAATCAGCAGCTCGGCCCTTGCCGTCGCTCACGCATTCATTGAAAAAGAAAAAAATAACCACGCAACGTCCAGGCAGACCCGTTCTGGCAGGCGCCAGGTTAATTATCCAGACCGCTGTGCACAAACGCGACTGCAGCTGTGAACCGGGAGGATCTACTTGCCGTGACCGACAGGTGTAATTATAAAAAAAAAAATGCTGAGTTGACGTTTCAGTAAACCCCGTGGATTAGTCGTCTCGTCGCACGGGGGGGGGGGGGGGGGGTTGGTGGGGGGGGCGGTGACGAGGCCTAGCGGTAGCGCGTTCGCCGTCTGTTGCAAATGTTCACGGCTCAAATTAAGCGGCCGCTCTCATTGATATTTCGTCACGGTGGCGACATGTTAACCACCTCGCCTGGCATGCAGGAGGTCGTGGGTTCGACCCCGACTCTTGTCGTCTGTTGTACATTTGGAGTTTGCGTGTCTCTCTTCCCGTGGTCATGTGGAAATTTTCTCCCGAGCCCTCTGAATTTTCCCTCCATGTTTAGAACCATACGTTTGGGGTATTTGGCTACTGTACATTTCCAGACGATAAGCCACTTTGTTGAGCTAGCATTTGTGGGCAGGTTTCTTCTGAAAAAGAGCTATATATCTCAGTGAGCTTTACCTGGTGAAATAAAAAACACATTCCTGCGGAGGGAGCTGGTAGGAACGTTGGGTTGCTCGGTCAATGGCCAGGGTCAACAACGGCACCACGTGGTGTATTCCGCAAATATTGCCCGACTGTGAGGGCGGGCACAAGCCGGCGTGAGTAGGTTAAACGTTGAGTTTTATAAGGGCACCACGGGGTGACCAGCCCCTCCCCACCCAGTCCCACCCCTCCCACCACCCCCCACCCAGCCCCACCCTCCCTACCCAGCCCCTCCCCACCCAGCCCCACCCTCCCTTTCCAGCCCCTCCCCACCCTCCCCTCCCCACCCAGCCCCTCCCCACCCTCCCCTCTCCACCCAGCCCCACCCCTCCCCACTCAGCCCCTCCCCACCATCCCCTCCCCACCCAGCCCCTCCCTCCCCACTCAGCCCCTCCCCACCCTCCCCTCTCCACCCAGCCCCACCCCTCCCATTTTTGGATGCACGATGGACGGACACAATAATCCCCTGTGGGCTGGTGGTGTAACCAGGGTTTCCTACAAGTAAAATGTTTTAGTTTGGTAGTGATTCTGCGTGTGTATTAACCGTGATAATATTACGTGCCGTCTGCTTCACAGATGACGTTTAAGATCCCGTGACCTCATTCGCAAGAGTAGGCCCATTGTGTCCAGGCATCATGGTCCACGTTTTCTACATTTTATAAATGACACTGAAAAAACTTAGTTGGAACATTCATGGCAATCGTTGCCCGCGAGCGCGAAAACTTGCCATAACCCTCCTGAAAAAGGGGTCGTGAGACTCGGTGAGGCTTACTTAGCTGCGTAAACAATCGAAACTAAAAAAACTCTGTACATATCCCGCACACGGATTAGCGAGACGTTTATATACTCAGCGGTGACCTAGGTTAACCTGCAGTGTGAAAATATCTGGAATTTTGAACCATCCGCTTTATAAACCAACACGCATATGTCATTGTAATCTTTTAATTTTGTAGTTTATACATTAACAGGGTTTGGTGGTGGAGCAGTGGTGAGTGCAGCTGCGCAATGAACCTGCCGACCTGAGTTTATTTCCCAGCCACGAGTGACATCGGTGGCGAGTGATATTTGCAATGGTCCTGCGATTCCGACCCTCCACGTTCACCATCGCTTACTGACCAACGTGGCAAAGTATTATTAAACAACTCGAATTACCGCTGAGTCACGAGGCTGAGCTACTTGTGTGACATTGGAGTTTCTGTTCTCCCGTGTGCGTGGCATTTTCCAGGCACATCGGTGAATTATCCACATTCAGGAATTGCCCATTCCTGCGAAAAGCAAGACCTGTCAGAAAGCGAGTCGCTCTTTCACACTTGAGGGGGTTTTTGTTTGTTTCTTGGGGCATAAAATGTGACAAAATGTAGGGAGGGAATGCACACCGGAGAGAGAGTACGTCTGTCGTGGAGATGGAGCGATGGAATCGGTTCGCGTGCAAGGTGGTAGGTGGATTGTTACAGCCCTGGATTGCGAGGGGCGTGTGGCGGTGGTTTGGGAAGGCTTTCATCTGGCAGTCGGTAAAGCATGGTTGCCGATGATGATGATGAAGATGAAAGCTGTTCTAAATAATGTATCAAACAACTGCCCATTTTGTCAATCCACTGCTACACAAAGGCCTCCACACACGCCGTGTTGGTCGTGGGGGTCGTGTTGACCATACTTCACCAATCTGGTCATTGGGGATTGGTGAGACTTGCGACTGGTTCAGGTGTCACTCGCCGCTGCCGTTGACCACATTCGGGAATCGAATTCGTGTTGCCGGGCACCACCGTAGTGAAGTAAAAGTTATCATATATTGTATTAATTATTGCATAGGTAAACATGTTTATTCCAGTATTGTACGAAATGGTTTTTTTCCCTTTTCCGATTTCACACAAAAAAACCACCCTTGCTCAATCCTCCCACACAACTCGTGAGCGAAGTCACGCGGAACAGAACAGCACAACGACATGCTTAGGCAGACTGCGTGCCAAATCACAAATCATAATTGTCGCTCTGTTTTGTTTTTCCATTTTAGGTTCACGAGTGCACGATGCACATACTGCAACAATTGTTTTCAGCCCCTTGGCAGTGCCCTGCTGGTTGAAAGCCTCCTGATGCCAATGTCGGGCATGGAGCTTGTTTGACTATACTTCACCACGCTGGTCATTGTGGGTTTGTGAATGATGGGTGGAGGACCAGGACTGGTTCAGACGTGGCCATGAATCATCACTGATGTTCGCCGTGGCCATGAATCACCACTGATGTTAGCTGTGGTCATGAATCGTCACTGATGTTAGCCGTGGCCATGAATCATCACTGATGTTAGCTGTGGCATTGAATCACCACTGATGTTAGCCGTGGCCATGAATCACCACTGATGTTAGCCGTGGCCATGAATCGCCGCTGATGTTAGCTGTGGCCATGAATCATCACTGATGTTAGCCGTGGCCATGAATCATCACTGATGTTAGCCGTGGCCATGAATCATCACTGATGTTAGCTGTGGCCATGAATCACCACTGGTGTTAGCTGTGGCCATGAATCACCACTGATGTTAGCTGTGGTCATGAATCATCACTGGTGTTAGCTGTGGCCATGAATCATCACTGATGTTAGCTGTGGCCATGAATCACCACTGATGTTAGCTGTGGCCATGAATCACCACTGGTGTTAGCTGTGGTCATGAATCACCACTGGTGTTAGCTGTGGCCATGAATCACCACTGGTGTTAGCTGTGGCCATGAATCACCACTAATGTTAGCTGTGGCCATGAATCACCACTGGTGTTAGCTGTGGCCATGAATCACCACTGATGTTAGCCGTGGCCACAAATCACCACTGATGTTAGCCGTGGCCATGAATCACCACTGATGTTAGCCGTGGCCATGAATCACCACTGATGTTAGCCGTGGGCATGAATCATCACTGATGTTAGCCGTAGCCATGAATCACCACTGATGTTAGCCGTGGCCATGAATCACCACTGATGTTAGCTGTGGCCATGAATCACCACTGATGTTAGCCGTGGCCATGAATCATCACTGATGTTAGCTGTGGCCATGAATCACCACTGATGTTAGCCGTGGCCATGAATCACCGCTGATGTTCGCTGTGGCCATGAATCACCACTGATGTTAGCTGTGGCCATGAATCACCACTGATGTTAGCCGTGGCCATGAATCACCACTGATGTTAGCTGTGGCCATGAATCATCACTGATGTTAGCCGTGGCCATGAATCACCGCTGATGTTAGCTGTGGCCATGAATCACCACTGATGTTAGCTGTGGCCATGAATCACCACTGATGTTAGCCGTGGCCATGAACCGCCACTGATGTTAGCCGTGGTCATGAACCGCCACTGATGTTAGCCGTGGCCATGAACCGCCACTGATGTTGGCCGTGGCAGGTGCTGGTAATAAATATTGTTCAGCCCATTCCGCTGCTGGATGAAGACCTCCTCACGTCTCTCAGCCATTGGGCGGGGGTTGTTTGACCATAGCGCGCCGTGCTGGTCAGTTCAGGGGCTCCGAGAACGCATCACGACATCCCCCGCCACCAGTGTCGGCTTGGCTGGGAAAATGAGCGCAGAATGCCGGCGTCGTAACGCAGCGCCCGAACAAAGTGCGAACGCGCCCGCATTATCCACGTGTGACCACAGCATGCCCACTGAATAGTCACAAGGCAATGTTTCTTAGAAGATTAATTTACGTTATCTAGAGGTGTACCGTTGGGTTTGTTTCATTGCGAGGTGGATTATTAACGTTGCAAGAGAGTGAAAGATGGCATTAGCTTGAGGAGGCCTTCCTCCAGCAGTGGATTGAAAATGGATGAAGATGGTGATCATTATTTTTGTTATTAATGAATCACGCGCTTCATCAAGCTACACCTAAAAAAGTATCGTCAAGTTTGGTCAAAATGCCCATGACTGGCACAGGATGTGGAGGCCTTCACCCAGCAGTAGGTTGACAAAGGGCTGTAACTTATTGTTTAGGGGCCGTCCATATATGACGTCACGCACCTGGGGGGGGGGGGTAGACATTTGTGACGATGTGTGACGAGGAGGGGTGGAGGTTGAGAAATGTGACGTCACATCAAAAAGCGCGACTTTAAATAAATATAGACAACACGTTCTACTTAATTAAATGGACTTTTTAATAAATGTTTTCTCCTACAACAGAGTGCAGCGCCACATTAAATACGCACTACAATGACAATAGTTTAAAGCGATTTCAAGCATGTTTAATATATATTTTTGGGGGGGGGGGGGGCAGAGCTTTGTGACGTCATATTAGAGAGGGGGGGGGTCTGACTTTTTGTGTCGCCACGTGACGAAGGTGGGGGTCAAAAATCGTCCAAAATCGCGTGACGTCATTTATGGCCGGCCCCTTAGGTTTTCGTGTATTCTTGCGTTGAGTGAACAAATCTGGTCATTGTACGTCACTAACCCGGAGGGTCCCCCTGCTGGACAATGGAGTAAGTAATTTGTTTCATTGTTCCTGCGATGCCGCGTGCTTAACCTGTGCGACGAAGGGAGAATGCGGCTCCTGCTGGGCTTTCTCTGTCACTGGAAACATCGAGGGGCAGTGGGCCATCAAGAAAGGAAGCCTGCTCTCACTCTCCGAGCAAGGTGAGTCGTGGCACGCCTGAAGCCGCGGCGTACGCATCTACGTGTGCACGTTGAGCTTCTTACGCAGCCAGCCTGTGCTCGTCGGAGGTGTGCGAAATTGCGCACGACCACACGGACAATTTGCTCCCCGAAATCACGTCGCGCAGCTCAATCGGGCCGCACCTGCTTTGTCCACATCTGAGTCGGTAGTTGTGCAACTGAAGCCTGGCCATGCCCTCCACAGCAAAGTCCCCGGTAAAGTCACGTAGATGAAGTAAAACTGAATGAAAGAAAATAATTAAATCACGACGTTTCGGAGGCAACACGAGCCATCCGTCTTCAGGTGGAAAAGTCAACGCAGAGTATCTGTGTCAGGAGCACAGTTCAGAGACGACCGGGATTATATACAGGTTAAGGGAGGGGGGAGGAGTGAGTAAGGGGGCGTGGGTGGGTGGGAAGGCTGGGTTAAACAGCCTTTTGATAGGCTGCTGCGGGTAACAACCACTTCGCACTGCACGGGAGTGGGTAAAAAAACCCACCTTTTGTTATACTGCGTGTGGGGTCGGGGAGATTTTGAAAGCGGGTGTACGGTAACACTTCTATTTTTTGGTGTCTGCACATTGATTCTGTTAGCGATTTGAACTTTTTGTTGTCCAGAGCTGGTGGACTGCGATAAGCTGGACTACGGGTGTGGTGGAGGACTGCAGATGAATGCTTACAAAACGATACAAGAGCTCGGTGGGTAATTTGAAAGTCTGTCTTCTTTAAATAAATCAAAAATATAGGTATAATTATATTTCAACGAACTGCCCTGCTACAGGTAAAACCTCGTCGATTCACATTTATGCTTGGGAGAGAGAGGGGAGCGAGCGAGCGAGCATTAACGGACAGTCAAACTGTAACTTTAGTTTTTTTTTTTTTAACGCGAGAAATCTAACGGTGGAAAGATGCTACAAAGTTACGTAACGTATCTACTCTGAGCATGTAAATAGTATGTACGGGTCTCCGTGATCCACAGAATTAATGTATCTAACGCAAGCCCGGTCTCCGTGATCCACAGAATTCGATGTATCTAACTGCAAGCCCGGTCTCCGTGATCCACAGAATTCGATGTATCTAACGCCAAGCCCGGTCCACGTGATCCACAGAATTAATGTATCTTAACGCCAAGCCCGGTCCACGTGATCCACAGAATTAATGTATCTAACGCCAAGCCCGGTCCACGTGATCCACAGAATTAATGTATCTAACACAAGCCCGGTCCACGTGATCCACAGAATTAATGTATCTAACGCCAAGCCCGGTCCACGTGATCCACAGAATTCGATGTATCTAACGCCAAGCCCGGTCCACGTGATCCACAGAATTCGATGGAGCCCTGCTGTGCTGTTCATCACTGTTGGGTTTCATTAGGTTGCAGCTGAAACGACCAGCGCTGCAATTGTTTTTGTTCGTGCTACTGCTGGTGGAAGAGCCTCCAGTAAGACAGAGGTCTCGAGAACCCCACCGACCGCTAAAAAAACGAGGGTATTTGAAGTCCCCCTTCAACGCTGGCCAGACGGCCTTGGAAGAGGTGGGGGACTACCCACACGGTACCCCGCGGCACGTGACCTTTTAAAAAAACATGCAAAAAATACGCTGAAGCAGAAGATTGGTGCATGGATACAGCAGTCACACTTTGCAAATGCGATTTGTGACTTTGATCCTTTGTAGTGCCGATAGTGCAATGTTAATGTGGCCATCGTATTGAGGGACTGCTGCTGCTGCTGTGGTGTTAACTTGGTGTGGCCTGCAACTGTTTCGTTCTCTATGCTGCCTCGCTCAAGACAGATAAATCGGACTTATATAATACATTATCATGTTTTATTTATTTTAGTGACTTCCGTACCATTTTCTCTATCGTTTTTTTAAATATTTGCTTGCCTGCTGTAACTTGCTGACCACCCCCCCCCCCACCCACCCCCGGCCCCATACTGGACATCTGTAAAAAGAAAAAAGAGCTTCACAGCTCATCGGATTCCTCCTACGGTCTAAGTAAAGATTCCCATTTCTGAACTTGCACCGCCGTTTCAACCGCCGCCGTGAGACCGAATCGATCCGGTGACCGCTGGAGATCGCGAGTGCGCCGTGCGTCTGCAGTCTTGCGGCAGCACACGTCACACCCCCACCCCCCCCCCCCCCCCTTACTCCCACGCCTGCGTTGGTTGTGTTTCGCGAGCTTTGCCCGCGTCTTGTTTTTCGAACCGCACGTTCTGTCGGGCGGGGGCGGGGGGGGGTGGTGGTGGACCGCGCGTGCGTGGGCAGGGGGGCTGATGACGGAGAGCGACTACTCCTACAAGGGGGACATGGAGCAGTGCGGCTTCTCCCAGGCCAAAGTCCGGGCGTACATCAACGGATCCGTCTCCATTTCCTCCGACGAAGACGGTAAATGGGTCGTCTGTGAAGCGCGTTCAAACGGGCCCTGTGTGCCGGATCGCACAGATCCGTCGTCTGTTGCGAGGCTCCTAATCTGCCGAAGCGTGACGTGGCCAGGCGGTGGCAGCATAGCAAGCATGCGCCGTGGTGGCGAGATGTTAACTCCCTCGCCTAGCGTGCAGGAGGTCGTGAGTTCCATCCCAAACACTGACGCCTGCTGTGCATTCGGAGTTTGCATGTTCTCCCCCGTGACCGCGTGGATTTAGAAACACGCGTTTTGGAGTGTTCGGCTGCTGTACATGTCCACTTGATGAGTCACTTTGTTGTATGCATGTCGGACCTCTTTCGCACCCGTACGTAGCAAGCCGTACTCATCGGAGGTGCGGGGGAAGGACAACAAACTAAACACAAAAATGGGTGCTAAAGAAATGAGTTTTCGATTTAAAGCTATCATTTGCGGGCAGCTCACTTCTGAAAAAAGAGCTGTGTAGCTCAGTGGGCCTTACCTGGTAAATTAACTTATAGTTTTTAATAGTTGAAACGCATTTTAAAGGCGCACCACCCCCCAGTGGCAGCTACCCCTGTGTAGCACGGGGTTACCCAGAACGTGGCTGGCAAGTGGTTGGTAATTAATCTCGCCAGTCGAGGGTAACGATTGTTACGTGTAATCCCAGTTGCGTCAAAGTCGTCTCGTGTCTGTGTCTACTCCCCCCCCCCCCCCCCCCCCCCCCCCCCCCCCCGCCGCGCGAGGATACACTCGCTCATGGGAATGTCTGTCAGTTTAAACACGCAGGCTTTCGCGACCAATATCCATAATCGAGGTCTTTTTGTGTGTCCGTGCATTGCACAGAGATGGCCGCGTGGCTCGTAAAGCACGGACCGATTTCCATCGCGCTCAACGCCCTGGGCATGCAGGTACAGCAAAGACCGAGCGCCACGGGTGACCTTCCTCGACGAGTCAGGTTGGGACGCCACGGTGGCGAGATGTTGACTACCTCGCCTGGTATACCGGAGATCGTGGGTTCGATCCCGACCCCTGACGCCTGCTGCTGTATATTTGGAGTTTGCATGTTCTCCCCGTGGTCGTGTGTGTTTTTTTCTTTCTCCGGCTTCTCCGGTTATTCCCTCCACATGCCGGAATCAACATCACACGTTGAGAGTATTTTGGCTGATATCCATCCACATGATAAGCCACTTCGTTGATAATAGGGTTTTTCCCCTTTTTTCTGGCAACAAAACTGAAACCGTTTTTTTACAAGGATTCACGTCTGCATTAACCACAATACCTGCAGTCAAAATGCAAACAAAAAACATACTTTGTTAATATGATGCATTGTCCTTGAAACTGATTGGTCGCTTCTGTAAAAGATCTATATAGCTCGGTGGGCCTTACTCGGTAAAATAAAAATAGTTAGGTTTGGTGATCACAGCTCCCCTTCAATCCATGTGCCGTGCCGGTTATGGGGGTTGATTGATCACACTTCGGCATGCCGGTCGGCGTGGGTTGGGGAAGAAGGTGGCATGATATCACTGATGTTTGCCGTGGCTGGGAATCGAACTAAGTTTGCCGAGGTTAAACTGCGGGACGCTAATCACTGCCCCATCTCTCCAACATACACTATGCTCTGTATTTTGTATTGTAGAAAAAAACAAAATCACACATACACGACGCATCCTTTCCAAACATGTCCCTTCGTTTGAAAAATTAAAGTGGTTCTCTTACGATCCCGTTGGCCACACAGCCTCATGGGAGTGGATTATTTGGTTTCATACGAGCAAACACTGGACGGGTTTCGACATTCAATGTCTCATCAGCAGTTAAGATTGCAGAACGTAGATTGTAGCACGAATGGGAACATTTCAGCCAGTTGAGCGCCATCTGGTGATAGACAATTTCCGGTGTGATATACTGGTGTGTTATCGCTATAAAGCTTAGGTTCATCAGATAAGACACCAGTGAACACCATATCCTGTAGGGATGGAGCAATGCATCTATTTATTGATTCAATATTGCTTCTTAAGTTCAATACAAATAAACTGAATTCCGTGTGCAAGAGTAATTGTTTTTGCGGTTCATATATTTATTGTATGGGTTGAGCGATGGTTAGCACACTGCGCTATGAACCCTGCGACCCAAAATAATTGCCACCCACAGCCAACATTAGTGGCAAGCGATATCTGAAACGACCTGCACATGACGAGCGTGGTGAAGTATAATCAAACATCCGCCCCATGACCGGCAGAGCATTTGGGAGGCCTTCATCCAGCAGTGGATTGACAAAGGGATTGTGCATGACGTTGTTTGTAATTGGTTCACGTCACCGCCTCATCCGCTCCAAGCGATAACATTCACTGCAGTGTTTGAAAAGTGATTTATTATTAAAGCAACTCATGAGGATGATAAAAGCTCAACTTGTGACACGCCGTGCAGCGCTCGCTCATCGCCCTCGTAGAGAGCGGACGCTTCGGAGACGCGAGGTGGAATGTATGTATGTATATATGTATTCTATGGTTCTTTCGGTAAAGTCACGTAGATAGAAAAAAATATAACAATAAAATAATAATTAAAAAGTGAATACAAATATCCCGACGTTCCGATCGCAACACGAGCGGTCGATCGAAACGTCGTGATATTTTTTATTCAATTTAATTGTATTCACTTTATTACATTTTTTTCTATCTACGTGACTTTACCGAAAGAACCATAGAACATGAATTCCTGCAGTCACGAAAGTTTTAAGTCAAAATATGTAAAAAAATTAACACTTTTTACACCGTACGTAGCCAACCGTGCTCATCGGAGGTGTCAGGGAAGGACAACAAACTAAACACAAAATGCGGTTCTAAAGAAATTCGTTTTCAATTTAGATTATTTTAAAGTGCGTTAACTCCCAGTGGCTTCCTAATATCGGGAGGAAGAGCGTTCCGGACGGCCGCAGAAGCGCATCTGAAAGCGCGCGATGCGGCGGTGCCCGTCGTTGTTCGATGGCAGCAGCCGAAAGCCGCTGTGAGCGGGAAGGCGGCAGCAGCCGGTCGGTGAGCCGGCGCAAATTCCCCCCCCCCCCCAAAGCTCTGCGGCCCTCTACATATGAAGATGTTTTCGGCCAATTGTTGAGTGCTCACATGTAGGAGGAAACCGGAGCACCTGCATACAACCAAAATCAGAATATTTTATTTATCCTGGAGGAATCTGATGACCTTTGAAGCTCTTTTTCACAGACGGCCAGTAGACATCTGTGAAAAAGCTACATGTGCAAGGGAGAAACACTCGATCTCGTACAGACGGAACAGGTGGAGTCCACATTTACTTTAACGCCATCTCCTCGCAAGCCAGGATATGGCACCTCGATGCCCACGGGAAGGGAGTTTCACAACGTTGTGTGTGATCCACCAACCCCTCGTCTCCACAGCGCTGGATTACGGGCGACGTGCTGGATCACAGCCACCACCGCGACACTGATTCGCGACAGTCAAATGAGTTGCAGGAGCGGGCGGGGGGGGGGGGGGTTTCACGGTTCCACACATAACAGCCTTCAACAAAGAGAGCACTGTGAGGTTGGGAGGAAGCCGTCACCTTCATCTCGTCTCGCTCGTGTTTTCAGCGCTCTGTTAATTTGACTACGTTTTTTTCCCCTCCTCCCGGCAGTTTTACAAGCACGGGATCGCTCACCCGTGGAAGATTCTGTGTTGGTCGTGGGAACTGAACCATGCTGTTCTTATAGTGGGCTACGGCACAGGTGCGTGCTGCTGTCTTTCCGCGCCTGTATCACTGCGATCGATATCATTATTGTCATTCATTGCCATCCGTCACCGTAGCCCCATTTGACCCATTCCGATGACGAGCGTGTACATCATCGGTTTTTCTTCCGAATGGAATCGGAAGAAAAACTAAAATAAAATAACTTTTATCGGTACCGAGGTTTCCCCCACAAGGCCACGCGGGAGGGCGCGTGGCACAGTTTGGTGCCAGCTATCGTAGAGTGCGGTCGTGTCGCCACACTTCTCTGCGGTGAGCACAATGACTTGAAAAACCACGGCGGTACGCCTCTCTAAATAAAATTGATGCTGAACCGCTCGCGCGCTCCGAGATTCAGCGGTGAAGGCGACCCACCCTCCACCTTGCAGGCGTCTCGGAACAGGAAGGGGTTAATCACCATCATGTGCTGTGCATTCAGAAGGTGGCAAGTTCAGATCCCGGCCAGGGGTCGACCGAGAACGATCCACTCAGGGTCGATTGATTAAGCAGCTTGTCGGAAAAAACCATCAAGAAGCTTGCCGTTGGTTTTTCACACCTGATGATGACCGTTTGTGTTATGGTCGAAACGTCGTGAGAATTTTTATTGTTTTATATATATTTTATTGTTTCCCTTCAACGTGACTTTACCGAAAGAGCTAAGAATATGAATAACATCAAGAAGCTGTCATATGAAGAGGCCTTAGTCCTCACTATAGCAATTTCTGTCACTTGCACAAGGCCAAAGCACTGGCCCACGTGATTTTTTGTTTTGTTTTTTATCAAGAGAGGCGCGTTGAGTTGACGCTGCGGTGTTGTGCGTATGTAGTCCCGTCTCTGTCCCATCGTGGCCTTGTTCACTATCGCCACCTCCCCCTCTCTCTCTCTCTCTCTCGCCTATGGTCGTCTCCTTCTGAGCTTCTGAGCTCTCGCATTTGTTGTACGCGAGCAGGCCGCTTCGCCACCGCGTCACCTCGCTCGCTTCTTGAGTCACTTGGTGTGACTCGACAGTTTAATGCCCCGATTCGGAGTTGAATTTTTTGAGGGGCGTTCGGCCCTCGCAATGGTCTGGCCAAATTGAATAGTGACGTGTAAAGAGCCTTTGGTTGACGACCTGCTAATTCTAATTGTCAGTGCTCACCGCTAAGTTAGAAGAGCGATTCTCGCCACTGAGTCCATCAACCGGACGTGACGTTTCGTCTGAAACTATGCCAAACGTCGTCAGGAAGTCAGAATACAGGAAGTCAGAGCGGCTACCAAAGCAAGCCATCTGCGAGGAGTGGACATTTGCTGACCCATGTGTTAAACCATTTTGCATGAGTGTGCCATTGTATGCTAGAGTGTTACATAACATCGCAAGCACATGCGCTGTGTCACTGACAAATGTGTTGATCTTTGTTGTTGTTGGCATTTATGCTTGTTCACCACTGCCACCGCAATGGCATCACCAAATGCTCCTCTTTGTATGGCACGAGTAAATGTGAATGTGAGTTGACCCTTGGCAATGCCCACCTTCCGTACAAGCACCTCCTATTGGCGTGGTTGCCTACGTACGGCGCCAATGAAGCTCTACACGTAAGCGGTCGCGTCCGTTAATCCTGCAACGTGTTCACTCTGTGTCCGCGCTTTAGAGAAAGGCGTGCCGTTCTGGATCATCAAAAACAGCTGGGGAGTGGGGTGGGGCGAGGAGGTGAGTGGTTTCAGTTTTTTTATTTATTCAGTTTCTTTATTTTGGTACAGCCCTGTGAGCCATTCGGCTCTTGAAACGGGTGCAACCACAACAAACAAAAACACGAACAAGAAAACATCTTAAAGTGACAAACAGAAAATCCATGAAAAAAACAGCAAAATATTCCTGAAAAAGCACCGTACACCAACGCTGTGTGCAAAAATCTCAGTGGGATGCAAGTCAGACAACAAAAACCACAAGAAAACTTAGATTAAGGCCATCAGTCTAACTCCGTACTACAACAAAACAAACATGCCCAAACCAAAAAAACGTTTTCGAAATCACCAAAAAATAAAGCCATAATTGCAATGTAACAGTGATCATAGGGACTGTGACCGATTTTTTTTACAATAAACTACATAAATAACATGTAACACCAAACCCTAGAGCCATAGCTGGCTGCATGAGTTACTCCACAAACAACAGAAGCATCAGTCGGAGTATCAACAACAGAAGCATCAGTCGGAGCGTTAAACGGTGCCGTCGCCCAGAGCACCCGTGTCACCTCTCGTATGTATGTGTAGCGACGCCCGACGCAGTCGTCTTCAGTAATAATGATAGGAGTCTTTAGTTTTTCCAGCACGAGACACGGTCTCCAAATACTTCCTGTTCTCCTAGCGTCCAGAACTCTCTCGCTTCCCCTTTGTATGTCCCTCAAACCCCTTTCCCGAAGGTTCCTCAACCCTCCGCTTTCCATCCAGCCAATCATCTTCCACGGATTCCAACCGTCCTCCCTGTCGATCATCCTGCCGTTTCCCCGCTCTTTCCATTTGTACTTCTCCAATGCCTTCAATTCCCCGCATCTATTCAATCCCCTTTCAGGCCCGTTAGGCAGCAATCGGAGGGCTTGTTTTTTACTTGCCGACCGTCCGTGTCGTGCACGCCGTGTCCACGACGTCGTAGCGAGTGTTTTCGGTTGCGATTGCTTCGCTGCATGTGTATGTGTACCGGACGTTGTTGCTTCCTTTCGCGCACCGTACGTAGCCGACGGAGGCGCGGGGGAAGGACGACAAACTGAACGCAAAACGGAGTTCTCAAGAAACGTGCAAACTCCGAGTGCCCTCGCGAGCATCTGACTGCCGCGGCGCAGCAAATTCACCCGTTCAATGTGTTCACCTTTTTTAGGCTCCCGATACGCGCGGCAAGGATAGGGCGATGTTTTGACTTGCGCGCTGCTTGTCGCTACGCAGTGGGTTCACGTGACTCCTGCAGCCGCTAGACGCCGCTACATTCAACGCAGTGGTTACAGAAAAAAGAGATTATTCAATGGAACGGCGAACCTGATTTGTGACAATTGAATGTCCGGGGGGCGGCGGTGAAGGGATCAGTCGGGTAATCTACAACAACAGTGCCCAATCCCTTGCAAATGATTCTCAACACTCGCACTGCAAGTGCACGATCAAATTAAAACGTCATGGATTTTGTTGTTGTTGTTGTGTGCAGTCATTGGTGACTGGGCTGAGACCCCCCCCCCCCCTCCATCGGCTCACTCCACGTGAGAATCCTCTTTGATCGCAGGCGGCTGAAACGTAGATATGAAGCCCCGGTTCTCGGCAGTAGCTGCTCAGCGCTCTGGCTGCTGAGCCACCGGGCTACAGCCAGTAGTATTAACACTCATTTTACGTCGTGATGCACCGCACAGTCTCACTCTCGGAGAGAGAGAACGACTCGTGAGGCGCAAGGTGCCACAGACAAGCGGAAAGGCAGCCAGGCGGTGATCCGGTGCCAACAACTGCCCCAAGCTCTGCGATCCTCTATATATTTTTTTTGCCAATTCGCGGTTGTGGCTGTGTCGCCCTCAGCATGCTTTGCGCGGTGCGGAAATGTTATTTTATTTTCCCCCAACGCGCGCGGCCGTGGCGCCGTGGCTTGCAGGGCTATTACCGCGTCTTCCGCGGCGACGGGGTGTGCGGCCTCAACAAGGACTGCTCGTCTGCCGTGGTGGACCGGGAGTGAGCGAGCGAGCGTCGAGCACGCGGACGACGCCGTCGCTGCCACCGTCGCTGGGCTGGACTCGTTCCCGTACGGAGGTCCGGGGTGAGGAGGTGGGGGACAACCGAGGATCGCTTGCGTCGACAGGAAAAGCCCCGTTTTGCTGATCCGGGTCGTTCTCTCGGTGCCACCTGCTAGGTTTTCGCTGTCGTGCCGTACGACCCTCCACGGGGGGGTCGGCGGGCATCTACCGCAAGATGTTCGTCACCATGTCTGACGTTTCGCACCCCCCCCCCCCACCCCCACCACCACCCCCCTCGCGTGCTGGGAGCTTCTTGAGGGACAATCCAGTCGTTCCGGCGGCAGCAGAGTTGAAGAGCTTAGGAAGTGAGCGACACGGATTTCGTGAAGAAGCTCCCGGCACACGTGGAGCTAAGTCTCAGTTGTCACGTCGGGCTGCTTGCTTTAGAACCCGAAAGCACACAGGAGAGAGCGTCGCCTTGCTTCTGTGTGATCTGGATCTATTACCGTTTGTGATGTAGCACTTGGTCAGAGTGCAATGCCTTTTGCCATCTATATAATGTGGTAACAAATGTGTTCTCAATTTGCTTTGCACTTGTTAGGTCGGGGTCATTCGCACAGACCCCCGATGCGTTGTTTTTTCGTCTTAATCTTTTCCGGTTCAGAGACGTCCGCGATTTGCAGGGGTGGGGTCCCGTTCATCGCCCAATCTCGGAACGTTCAAGCGGTGCGGCGTTAAATGAGCCACCTCCACAAATGGCAACCGACTCGAACTCCCGATGCAAGTTAGACGGGAATCGTTCGGAGAGGGGAAACAAGAAGACGGGACTCGGGACATGTTCATGGCTCGAAATATGAACCCGATCTTTTCTTACTATTTTTACACGAGCATAATTCACTTTGCGCGGGGGGTGGGGGGGGGGGGGGCGTTTTAACGCAACACGACGGTGTGACAACAGAGGCACGTGGTAGGAAGTCCGCGGTCAGAATCCCCCGCGGCTTTTCGGATGACGCAAGACGCTCAATTATTACATGAACAAGCAACTTTCAGTTTGGAAGCACTTAAATAGCAGAGTGTAGGAGATGGGGGTGTGCAGCCCACGCAAGTTAATTAGGGCCTCTGTAGGACTGACACAGCTATATGTTCTTCGCTGATAGTGGGTTCTTTATTTACGCTCGACGCACTGATTATTGTTATATGCCAAGTTTTGCTTGAAGTACTGTTCTGCGCCAGTTGGAAATTAGCTCCCTGGTCACTACGTGCCACCCACTGGGCTATGCAAACACGGGATTTCTGCTGATCATGCAAAAGTATTTTCATTTTGTAAAATTCTGCCAAAAGACTATAAATTGTGTTGCATTGTTCGAGATGACAGAATAAGCATTTCCTTACGGCCTACAAGCGGGCCAGGTGATTGTAAAGATAATCGTGCAAGGTTTCGGCAAGCGGTAATTGCGCCGTCAAACGCTAGGCATTCGCGATTGTGCTGCTGATTTTTGGACAGATCAAAAAATGTCCACGATTCAGGCTGTCACGGGACATGCCAAGGCATCATGGTCAGAGTAATGCCTTTTGCCATCAATATATGTGGTGGCAAATGTGTTCTCAATTTGCTTTGCACTTGTTAGGTATGGGGTCATTCGCACAGACCCCCCTATGCGTTGTTGTTCATCATAATCCTTTCCGATTCGAGACGTCTCAAGTTGCAGGGGTGGGGTCCCGTTCATCGCCGAATCTCGGAACGTGCAAGCAGTTCGGCGTTAATCTCATTTAGCGAGGCGTAGCGCCGTTGTTTTTAAAGACGTTGTTACTCACCGCAGAGGACCGTAGCGACACGACCGCCACTCTACGATAGCTGGCGCCAAACTGCCACAGGCCCTCCCGCATGGCCTTGTGGGAGCCTCGGTACCGATAAAGTTATTTCATTTTCGTTTTTTTATTCCATTTCGATCATGTACGCGTACGTCATCGGAACGAAATCGGAAGAAAAACTGATGACGCACATGGATTGGGAAAGGTTTTTTTTTTTTAACTCGGCTTTACCGATGTCGACTCTGTCACGCTGTGAATTTTGTGCGTTTTGCACAGTGATCGGATGTAGGGGCGGGGGGGGCGGGGGTTACACGATCGGCCACTGTACAAAGCTGCGAGCGTGTTTTACCGAAAGAGCACTTGGGAGCGGGGACATAGTGGTTAGCGGACCTCGTTGCGAACCTGCCGATCCGAGTTCGATTGCCAGCCACGGCCAACATCGGTGGCGAGTGATATTGGGAATCAGTCCTACCCCCCAACCATTCATCAACCTGCACTGACCAGCGTGGTTAAAAAACTCACGTCCATTCTGGTGTGTGGATGCTTTCATTCACTCACTGGTGGATTAAAATGGCTGGAATGGATTGCATTCTTTCTTATTGCTAAGATATTTCATCGCTATCCATAAGTGACCGAATTTATACCCAACGCAGCCAAGTGGGGGCAGCACTGATCAAAAGTGTCCCTTGCCAGGGCTACTTGCTGAACCACTGCACGTTTGCATTGGAATCTCACAATCTCATGTGGACCCTGTACCTTTTGCAAATGACGTACATCAACGTCACCTCTCTTCTCGTCATGTATCTCCCAGCGCTCGCCAAAATCGTCGGTGTTACTTTTACAGTAATTTTTAACGGGCAGGTGCAGGGATAAGGGGCCCTCTGTAAATGACGTCACGCACCTGGGGGGGGGGGGTCAGACATTTGTGACGCGGTGTGACGAGGGGGGGGGGGTTAAAAATCGTTCAAAATCGCGTGACGTCATTTATGGACGGCCCCTAACAACTCGCTTCAGTGGCTTTAACCCGTGCCGTTCGAACGTTAGACACGTGCGCGCATCGTTTGGAATTTGTTTATTTGCGACGCCGTGAATTGCTTGTGCTGATACTGCAGAGATCTCGGGTTCAAACCCCAGGTCGTGGCTCAGGGTAAAAAAAAAAACAAATCACGTACCACGTGTGGCGAGTTCTACCGCCCCCTTTTAGCAATAAATCAACGGTCGGGTGGTCGTAAGGGCCCAGCCATTTGGTAGGTACGTAAAAATGTATCAAAACTTGACCCCTCTCTCTCTCTCCCCCTCCCTGTACGCACCCGTACTTTTTACACCCCCTCCCCCACCATCTGCGTACGTACGCCTGAACCTCCCCCCCCCCCCGAATCCTATAGAACGGCCGATATTTAATCCACGCAGAAACGATCAAGGATTAATAATATTAACGTGTTTAAGCAAACGGATTGTCCACCGCCAGACTATATAACTAATTTGAAGGTCAATGTAGACAAATTATTATCGAGGCTTCACCCCCCCCCCCCACCACCACCACGTTTCCTATGCGTACGTACATTGTCAGTAGAACCCCCATACGCATGCGTACGCGTTTGTGTTAACCCCCCCCCACTCCCTCCATGCGTACTGAATGGATGCCCCCCTAAGCGGTTGGCACGAGTTGCAACGGAGTTAACAGTCGCCTCCAGAGTGGAGGTTCAAGTTGCTGCGGCATCGGTGTTCAAGTCGCACGATTAGGCCACCGTACACTCACGCCGTGGCCAAAATCCCCAAATGTAATCATTTTCGCGAACAATAGCATTGCTTGCGAGCTCTTCTTTGTAAGGACTTTTGTACCAGCGAATTGTCAGCTGGGCAGGAGCACGTTAAAAAACAAAATGACTTTGCAAAGGTCACCTCCGTAATGGTTGCGCAATGTCACGATACCCAGCTTCAAGAGGACCTCGATGTCACGTGCAGAATTGTTAATCGCCTCCACACCGGCGACGTGAGACTTTTCACGACCGAATTCAACATCCAACACACGATGACATTCTGCTCACCCCGCCTCGATCTTCATCAGGCAGCGAGCTCGGCACTGGAGTACAGTATATACAGCGTACGCGTGGCTATATATCTATATTTTTAAACAATTCTGCACGTGACATATTTTTGTTTAACCCTTTCGCGTTCCGAGTTTCGGGGTGGGTGGTGTCCCGTTCGACTCCGAATCGCGGAATGCACAAGCGGCTCGGCGTTCATTTTATTTGGAGAGCCAGTGCCGGATGAAGCCGGTGCAGGGCCTGTAGCCATATGGTATAAAGGAGCCGTAAATGTTAAAAGAAACACGTAAATATATAAACACAAATGTTTAACTTGCATAGTAAAGTAATTGTATTTTTTCATTTGCCATACAGCCGGATAATACGACAAATCGCTAACCTTAAACACCCAGTCGTTCATGAAAGTTGAAGGCAGTATAGTACTATAGTAATAGAGCAAGTGCAGAATCACTGAACTGGAATTGATAGCTTGAAAGTGCGGGGCCCGTAGCTACTACATATGTAGCTACTACATGTACCATTAGCTACTACATATGCAGCTACTACATGTACTATTAGCTACTATATATGCAGCTACTACATGTACTATTAGCTACTACATATGCAGCTACTACATGTACTATTAGCTACTACATATGCAGCTACTACATGTACCATTAGCTACTACATATGCAGCTACTACATGTACTATTAGCTACTTCTTATGTACCTACTACATGTACTATTAGCTACTACATATGTAGCTACTTGTGCTACTAGCTACTACATATGTAGCTACTACATGCACTATTAGCTACTACATATGTAGCTACCACATATGTAGCTACTTGTGCTGCTAGGATAGTCCGGCACTGACGTACGCGTCATCGGAACGGTAAAGGGTTTAATTGGCCAGAACTTGACCCATACATAGGCAACGTGTAACGAAAACATCTTGGTAAACACGACGATCTCGCCCTGGGGGTCGTGTCGGGCTAACGACGGAGATTTTGGCATACATTTACTACCACGTGGCCCAAAAGGAAATCGGGGTCATTGTATATACTCCACACTGCAGGTCCGTTTATGGTAAATATTTCCACATTTAACTTTTCATTCAAATGAAAATCAACAAGGCACAGCATGCTTCACGCTTTTTAATTGGTAGACATGGAATTGTGGGGTGACGCTAGACTTTGAGTTTTTATTTTACTATATAGGTACTGTTGATTGCTTGTATTGAGGCGAATTTAATAGCACTGCTTGTTAAGTCATTGTTTAATAGTTTAGATTCATGTTACGCCGTTTCACTAGGGACCTGAACACTGGAAATATTACGATGCGTTTATAGGGTTTGCAACTCAAGAGTAGCGTTCTTCAAGACAGTTTTGAAGAGCGCTGCGTTTGAGGACGCATGGCTACGTCAGTTACCAAGGGCAGCGCGTTTGCAGTGTTTGCAGTGTTTTTTTTTAAGATACGATGTTTTACGGAAAATTACAGCTTTTTTGCAAGTGATTTTTTTTGCGCTCATGTATTACGTTATTTACATTAACGATGATGGTTTCATTTGTATTGGCGACTAATCGGTTGCAATTATTATAGCAATGCAAGTTGATTAAATGGGTTGTTGTTTACTGCACTCGACTGCTGTGTGAGAACATTTCTAACACATTCAATCTCAAACTATGCTTCGATGAGATTTGCGATGATCGCCGTGTCCTGCACTGTAATTCTCTCTCAATGGAATTGGCTGTCGAATAATCTTATTTTTAACTCCTAAAATTTTGTTTTTTTTTACCAGGTCATCGTGATTTCCTCCTCAAACGAGCATTGTGACGTATTGCTCATCCACTGTTCACAGCCCGGAGCCTGTGGGAGGAAATTCCACATTCCTCTAGCAGGGGGCAACATTCACCCGTGGTGAGGTCCCCACGTAGTGGAACCTATTTTATACAGCGCCCTCTCCCCGGAGATGATGATTGGCCGAGCCAACCCCCGACCATCAACAAATCGGGCGACTTCTGTGGCACTAATCCAGCGATGTAAAATATCTGCGGTGGCAAGATGTTAACTCCCTCGCCTGGTGTAAGAGGAGGTCGTGGGTTCAATCCTGACCCTGACGCCTGCTGCTGTATATTTGCTGCCTATTTGCGCGTTCTCCCCCGTGGTCGCGTCGATTTCCCTCCGGGTCCTCCGGTTTACTCCTCCACATTTAGCATCAACGTGCGTTTTATACTGTTTGGCCGCTATCAATTTCCACGTGACAGGATATCATTTGTGATAGCCAGGCCGTTTCTGAAAAAAAGAGCCAAATCGCTCAGTGTGTCTTACCTGGTTAAATAATAATAAAAAAAACAGTTTAGTTTGACCACGAATTGAACCTTGCCATCGCTAGCCGCTCCCTCTACCGCTGAGCCACCAGACCCGGGATTGTTTTACTGCGATGGCAACGTGTTTGAGTTATCAACCGAGTCATCGATTGAGTCATCGCCCCTTCCCCCGCAGTGATTCGAGTGAGCTCTACACAGACTGTATCGGCCTTGGATCAATCCACTGCTGGATGAGGGGGCCGTTATTTGACCATACCTCGCCGCTCGTTGTCATCGCGGGTTCGTGATTGAAGGGGCGCATCAACGTGGGAGCACGGCAGTGCGGTACAACCGTGGATTTTGCCGTACCGCCATGCGCTGCTCGTTCAGACACTCTCCAGGCTCGGTGACCGCTTAGCGTCTGAGGTCTGACGAGATCGGGGTGCATTCCCGGTTGTGTCGTTCGCGGAGGCTGGGTGCAGCTGTGTTGGCTGGAAAGTCGAGGCGAGATAGGAGGGCGTGGAAACCTATCGCGTAGCTTTCTTCGCCATGCCTGGGTGATTAAAAAAGATGGGGGGTTTTTTTTCTTCTTTCCGATTGCACCTTGAACGGCTCGATAACACGAATGAGCACACACGTCCGTTGCAAGAAGAATGGAGAAAAAAAACCGGGACGCGCCAATAGAAACCAGATGTGCTCTTTCACCACGTTTCGAAGGTTTTCTGAGAGGTGCTAAAATAACAGCGCGCCGGG